AAATGAGAAAAAAAAATTTAAGATGATACTCTAGACAAAAATTGATACTGTGGCAATTTAATTTAAAACATGTTATTTATTTTTTTTTTTTTTTAAAAACAATGTAAGGGGTAAAACATCACGTGTGAAATAAATATTCACACGCACACACACACACACACACACACACGCACATCTGATTCGACAAAATTAGGAAGATTGAAATTACAGACTGACATTTTATTTAAAAAATTAAAAATAGAGAGAGAGTACTTTTTTTTTAATGGAGTCAAGTGAATAAAAAATTTTTTTTTTTTTTATATTAAAAAACGAAAATTCGTGAGATTCAAACTCATATAGTTGTTGGATAAGTCCCAAGTGATCTACAAGTTCTATTTGTAGACGCAAGTTATAAATTTTAAAAAAAATTTTTATAAATAGTTATCAAAAAAAAAATTTTGTTTGTTTAAGTTAAAACCGTTTTTTATTCTTTCTAATCACCACCATAGTGTTTAGCTAAAGCAGCAGCAGCAACAGCAGCAGCAGGGAAAGAAAATCAAACAAATATTTTTAATTATTTTTTTGTTTTTTTTTGTCTGACGACTACAAAAAAAAAAAAAAAAAACTCAAGTACCTCGAAAAAAAATTGTAAAAATTTAAAAGTGTTTAATGCGTGTCATTTTTCCCCTTTACTCCCCCAAAAAAAAAAAAAAAATTTAATAATAATATAAATAAACCTTTTTAAATAAATAACGGTAGCTTTTTTTTTTTTATGTACGTAATATTATTAGAAAGAAATAATCAACAACTTTAAACTTCTATCATCGACTTATTTTAAATTTATTGATCACTTTTTTTTTCTCTTTTTTCTGTTTTTATTGTTTTGAAATTGGCATTAATGCAAAAAAAAATTTCAAATTACGACTCAAACCCATAATAATTTTCAAAGACAATGGCTTTTTACAAAAAATACAAAAAAAAAACGTTTTAAAATTATTTTACATCTCTAAAAATCTGAAGAAAAAAAAATTTATTTAAATCAAGGTACGTAAATTTCCGAACCTGTGTGCAAAAAAAAAAAAAAACAATGGCAGAAAATGATGATGGGTACGAACGATGGAATACGTTTTCTCATCCGTTTCATTTTTTCAAAAAAAATTTTTTGCATAAAAATTATTTTTAATAAAAAAATAATAATAATAAACAATATTAACTTTTCTCTCTCTCTCTCTCTCTCTCTCTCTCTCTCTCTCTCACTCTTTTACTTTCACTCCGCTACTCCTAAACTATGCATTTTTTCGGGGTTTGATAAAAAAAAAAAAAAAAAGGTTTAAATTACCTTTTCGAACCGCAATACCTATTTTTGTCGACAATAACAACAAAAATTATTTTACCTTACATAACTTATTTTTAATAATTTTTTATAATCCTACGATTTGATTCGCATAATTAATAAAAACGTTGATTGACTCAATTACGTATCAATTTTATTGTAAATATTTTCATTTGTTAATGGGGTCATTCATTTTTTAAATATTTGTTTAAAAAAAAAAAATTTATATCTGATTTCGGGCATAATTATTAAACATGATGACTATCAACTCAACTATTTTCTTTTTTAAATAAATAAAAAAAAAAAAAAAAAGAGAGAAGAAGGAGAAAAAATTTTTTAAAACAATTTAAATTTGCAAATGGAAGGTGGATGGGTGGGTGGGTATAATACCCCTTTTCTTTAAAAAAAAAAAATTAAGATTAGTATACTTTTAGTTTCAGCATCGTCAATCGGTAATTTGGGTCACTTTAAGTAAAAAAAATGTTGCAATCGTAATGTCTTTAACAGAAAACGTGACTTTGTAAAAAAAAAAAAAAAAAAAAAAAATGTTTTTATGTTCAATCGTTCGCCTAAAAAAACATTCCTTAATAAATTTCCATTGAACGTGTGGTCTTGATAAAAAAAAAAAAAATATTCTTTTTGTCGATCGATACCATTGTTCGCCGTCCGTCTATATAAAAAATGAAGAATTTCAATAAATAATAATAATAATAATAATAATAATAATAATAATAATAGAGTCTCTCTTTAGTACCTCTTAATGGTCATCACGTTTTCTAATCCTGATGAGAGTGTTTGTCAAAATTGAAAAAGTTTAACATTGAAATTCAGTCAATGTTTTTTTTTTCCAATAATAATTTCCTCAACATAAAATTAAATAAATTTTCTCAAAAGGTTTTTCCATTGTTTAAATTTTCCAGAGTGGATAATTTTTAGAAGGAGAGAAACAAAATAGAAAAAAAAAAAGAATTAAATTTAGAATTTCAAAACCTTTTACCCGTACCATCCATTTCTCATGAGGGACGTTATTTTAACAAATGAATAAATAACGATTATTGATTGACAAAAAAATTTAAATTGTTGTTGTTGTGAAATAGAAAAATAAAAATAGTCTCTCGATAAAAAAAAAAAAAAAAAAAATGTTAAAATTTATAAATTTATACTATTTTGCCTACATTTTTCATTTCCCATTGAAATAACCGTTTGAAAAAAAATATCTAAACGTATTTATAGGCAAACTATATATATTCGATTTAGTACTACCTTCAAGTTTAAAAATTAAATTAAATTAAATTAAATTTTTTTTTTTAGATTTTTTTTTTTATTACTAAAATAAATATTTACTTTATTGAAATATTTTATTGATTTGTAATAAACTATTTTTAGTGAGATTCAGACAGAGTTTGAACGATTTAAAAATTATTTTTTCGGATTTAAAAATCAAACGATATTATAGTTTTAAGTAAATTTTTTTTTTTTTTTTTTACTAAAATAGACCTTAAAAAACAAAAGGGAATTCCCAAAAAATAATAATAATAATAATAATTGGGAAGAAATCGTGGGTTTTTAATTTGAAATCTAATATTTTTTTTTTACACGTTCGTAAAAAAATTTTTTTTAAAATTCGCAACAACGTGTAATTATTTTATTAATTATTAAAAAATTTAAAAATAAAATAAAATAAAATAAAAATTTAATTAAAATTAATTGACTTATGAAAATGATAGAAATATACTAAATTGTAATAAATAAATAAATAAATAAAATTTAAAGATTATTATTATTTTTCTTATCATTTAATTCATGATAAGTTTTTATGCAAATAAAGAAATTAATAATTTTTGCATCAAAGTATAATATGTGTGCTTTGTTTAAAATTAATAGATTATTAACAATATGGAGTCACAAATATAATATTATATTTTAAACCATTAAAATATTTTTAGTTAACTCTAGTGAAAAAAGAATTTGATTTATTTATCTTTTTTTTTTTTTTTAACTTACAATAAACTTGATGATTTATTTTTTATTTTTTTTAATCACAAAAATGTATGAGGAGTTATTATTGATAAGTGTCTTTCTTTTTCATAATAACAAATTAAGTAAAAGTAAATTTAAATAAATTTTAAAATGGTAAAATACATTTAGAGACTCTGTCCAAACAATTTCTAACCGAGTATTGAAAGTTAAAACATGTTTGGGTTTCATTATTGAACTTGGGGGAAAACAAAAAAACCTTAAAATAAAATAAAATTATTTACAGTAGGATTTATTATATTATCTCAACTTTGTGAAAAACAAAAAAATTCTTATTTAATATTTTATCAAATCCTTTTTATGCAAATTTTTAATAAAAAAAAAAGAAAACTTTTTGGGTATAAGCTCATTGATTAAAAAAATTTGATGAAAAATTTTATTGCACAAAAAAAAAAATTAAATATTTTTCAATTGTAATTATATTTTAAAGTTCGATAATTATCATGAGTCTAAATATTTATAGAAAAAATCAGACAAAAATATTTAAATATTATTAATTAAGATGTAATGGCCAACACCTGCCATCCATGTCTGTGAAAATTTTTTTCAGACAAGATTAAAAATAAAATTAGAGAGGTGAATAATTTGTCTTATTAAAAAAATTCAAAAATATTTGGCACATTTTTCAACAATCTCCTCCTCTTTTCGATTAAACATATAATGTCTAATACAAAAAGATATTATTAAAACAATTCTATTTTAATTTAAGTTTTTTTTGAAAATGAAAATGAAAAAAAAAAAAAAAAACAGTTAAAAAGAATTACAAAGAATATAGATAATTAAATGATACATTTTACAGTTGAAAAAAACTTTAAATAAAAAATAATCAAAAAACAATAAAAAGTAATTTTATACGATTAAAAGTTAAATTAAACTTACCAAATTAAAAAAAAATTAATTTTTAATTATCCAAATTTTTTTTAAAAAAAAAAAGTAACATTAAATCACAAAATTTTTTTTTAAAAAAATATTTTAAAAATTATTTAACTATAAATATAAAAAAAAATAAATAATTTCTGAATAAAACTAACGAGAATTTAACAAATATTAAATATGTGTTGAGTCAATTAAAGAACTCAAAATGAAATACTGAAACAAATATATAAAATGAGATGAACACTGCACGCTAAACCGTCAAGCATTTCAATTACTACCAATGCTCTGAACCAAGTCTGGCCAAATCTCTTTTTCTCCTGCCACGACTCTTAATTTTATTACTAATAAAAGAAATTTTAATTTTTTTTTTTTTTTTGTCCGCCTATTTTATTTCAAAATGTAATATTGTTAAAACAAAGTTTATATCTTTTTTGTCTCAAAATATATTTATTAATAAATTACAAACACATTTTAATTTTCATTTTTTGAAAAGAAAAGATTATTTATAACAAAGAAAGTTAGTTTTAAAATTAGGGATTTTTTTTTTTGCAATTAGTACAAATTAATATGAGAAACATTATTTAATTTTAGGATTTTTTCAAAGTTAATAAGTTAAATATGAAGTTTATGGAAAATAAAACTTTATTTTTTAAATAATTCTTAAATTTTTTCCTGACACGTTTAATCAATAAAGGTAACCTTGTGCCTGCCTAAGCTGCCCTCTAAAATTTTAGTTTTATTTGTGTTTTAAAAGAAAATTTCATGAAACGACATTATGCATAATTTAGACACTTTATTAATTAAGCATTTACCAAATGATTTTAACGACGAAGAAAAGGAAAAGTTTTTAAAATATTTTGGAGCAAAAGAAGTAAAATGTATTTCTTCAAAAAGGAAGAAATATAATATTGCTTTTGCCAGGTTAGATATTTCATATCAACAAATAATGATTAATTTTACAATTTTTTCTTAATGCCATAATTACATTTACAAATATTGTATTTTATTTAATATTATATTATATTGTAAATAGAGATTTTTTTTTTTTAATTGTAGGTTTGAAAGTATTGATGCAGCTAAAAGTGTGATTCATAGATTGCATCAAATAAATATTTTTGGAAATTTTTTATCAGTAGAATATGCTAAAGATAATAAAATCAATTTTGCAAATAATGAATCGAAAATGTGAGTAAATCAAAACATTTTCTGTGTTAAATTAATTATCTGAATTCAGAAATGATTTTGTTTTCAACAAATTTTGCATCTTGCAATCATTTCAAAATTTTTTTGATGTTTTAATCTTTTTCAATCGTTTTTGTAAAATTTAAGTATTTATTTTAATTAAATTTATATTGTATTTATTTAAAATTATTAATAATTTTATCACAAATACTTTTGTTATCATTAATACTATTTCTTTATTGATTACTTACAGTGAAGCTGATAATAATGAAAACAAAGAAAATGAAAAATATTATCAACAGTTTATTGATAAATTGACGTCTTGGCATTCAAATGTCAACTTCAAACAGCCAGTCCCTTGTCATTTAAAGTATCAATATCCTGCTCCAGACAAACAAGCTTTAACCAATATTTTGAAAATGTTAATAACAGTGCCCAAATTTTACACACAAGTCTTACATTTAATGAACAAAATGAATTTACCATGTCCTTTTGGTGATGACATTTTACCCAATGTTAAACTAGATGTCGATCCTTTTTATAATGAAAATAAAGAAAAAGGTAATTTAATTACACATTTGGCTTTTTTTTTTTTTTGCTATGCTTATTTAAAACAACTAATTGTTAAATTTAGATGAAGTTGAAAAAAAACTGAAGAAGTAAAAACAACATCAGAATCAGAAATATCTTCAGATGAGGAAGTAAAAGACAAAAAAGAACTTATACCAAAATCGTTTAAAGTGAAAAAAAAGAGTAAAATTAACATTTCAAAGCCGCTAAAAATACCACCACCTGTTGTTCAAAAAACCAAAAAGACATTGTTTGAGGAAGTTTTCGAAAAGCCTTATCCGGAGAAAGAGACTAAAAAGTTAAAATTAAGCAATATTACATTGATTTCGGACCAAATCAATCAACCTGGAAAAACATCTTCTTCCGAATCTGAAACAACTGTTGGATTCGGTTTTATTCATCCTGCAAAAAAAAAAAT